GCCTAAAATGGGAGTCAAAGTCGGCAAAATCGCCGATTCATAAATATCGCTGACACATCAAAATTCGCGAGAGCATAATTTCGTCAATTTTCCACCAAATTTCGTACTTTTTGTTTTATTACCTTCACAAAAAGATTCTCTACGATTTCATAAGAAAAAATAACAAATTTTTTTTTTTTTAAATTCTTGGACACTGGTGCGTGACTCCAGATTTGGGCCTTGGACCCTGAAAGGGTTAACACTAAAAACTTGACAGTATTGGCTTCTTATGCATAAATCACGTAAAAGAAAAGTTATGCAAACAGTTTCAATATTAGGCACTCAAAAGAAAACTGACAAACTCTCCAAATGTCTCTTTTGAGACAGTCCACCTACAGACTTTTGCATCATGATTGCAACAATATCAGTGTAACCAACCATACAATTATGATCAAAATTGTATAATTTTGAACCATATTTAATGAGCTTAAAGGTAGTTTGATGAGTTTGTCTGTTTTCTTTGGAGCCTAATCACAGTTTTTGGGCACGACCACATTGTCAGACATCCCTTTAGTCTCATTGGAAAAATCATGGTAAAAGCAACAAATTCAATGAGTAATGTATACGTCTCCCACCAAGTCAGGGTGACCTGAAAAAGAAACACTTTCATTATCATTCACACTATCACTGTCTTGCCAGAGGTGTGTAGATAGGACATTTCAGATGTAACTCCAAACAGCAAATATCCCCACCCAATGTGTATGTATTGGAATAAATGTAAAATTAAAGTGGTGGATTTGCAGGCTGTTTCTCTTTATTTTATCCTGTGTATTATCAATCCTGTATTATTTCTGCTCTTTTAATGTGATCCTGTTCTGAAGATCGTATGGAATTAAATCCTGCTCTGTTAAGTACAAGATAAAATCTGGGTCTTGGACATCATCCTCGACTTTGATGCTTACATTATGGAGGTTCAGTTCCACCTCCATATTACTGTCATCTTGAATTAGTGCCACCCATCTTGATCTATCTCCTTGCTTATAAAAGCAATGAGTGGTCATCTGGAAAGATATAATTTTTGAACTAGCTATTGCTGTGTACTGGTATAGTTTTATTATCACAAGAATTCCCTAAATATTTGCTAAAAAATATTAAAAATAAATTTGTGTTGATACTTATCATGACCAAATATCAATTATGACAAAGTTGACTTCTTTGTTTCTTAATTATCAATTATCATTGAGGTACAGTAGAGCATTCTACCTATCTTGTATGCTCTTGACTGTTCTGCAGTAGAGAGAGAGGTAGCAAGGTAGCATTGCAAGTAGTGAAGCAGGTTGAAGGTAAACATGGCCGGTTGTCATTATTTATGAGGGTTCTGTACAACGAGGAAGTGTGATCTCTTGTTGGTTCCTTAAGGATGACAAATGCTTATACTATTGGCCAGAGGAAATGTTGTTCATTTCATGTACTTTGACAAGCCTTTGGAGATATTCAAAGGAATTAAGAAAATAATTTTTTATCTATTATTGCAATTAATTTTAACATGCTGCATTGTATATGGAATTAAAGGCTAATACATTGTGCTGATGTATCTTAATCTCAGGCACATACTGTACTGTATATTGATTAATTAAACCTTCTTTCTTGTGTACGGTATATGATAGTCACTGAAGATGTATTGTGATATGGAAAATTCAGCTAAGTAGTAGTTACTGACTGTTTTTCTATGTTTAAATTTGATGTATAATGTAAAGATTGACTAGTTTGGATACAACATTCATGCATAACTTACTCTTAATAACAAATTTCCTAAGTAATTTATATGAATGTCAATATACAGTCTTATATATAATATTTTAGAAGCCTCCTTGATGTGGTGAACATTATAAGAGAAAGTGAGTGTACCAGCAGTTGATCACTTGTTACAACCTGTCCCAGAGTTTTACATTTATAAAGTTATTTAAATTATTCTTACTCTTGGAGACCTATGTAATGATGGCTTGTGGTGGCCAGCTTAGTTGCTGTATTTTGTTTTATTTGAAATTGTGTTGGTACAGTTTTATGCATATTTATTTACACTAGTCATGGGACAGCTGTTAAAAGTAGCATGGTACAAAAGATATAGTGGGTTTCCATGACTGTATTAGCAAATATGCTGCTTGAACACAAATTTTATTCATAGTTTTATTTTTATTCATAGTTTTATTTTACCTTGAAATACAGTGAAACCTTGGTATAACAGACTAATAAGGGGGATGGCTTTTGAAATGAAAATCTGTTCCATCGAATTGTTCAATGCAGAGGGCACGGTCCGTGGAGAGCCTACTGGACATACACATTATCGCTAATGGACAAAAACCTCGATTCACTTTACTTGGTCCATGTCGAACATTTAGTCAAATATTTTGTCTGTTATATGGTGATCCGTTATATGGAGGTTTTACTACTTTTAATAGTGTTTTATATTGCTTTTCTTTTATTGTATATATAGTCTAGTTTTAAGATGAGCTTACAATATTTTTTTGTAATTTTAGTGTTATGCATATTGCATTTTAATAATACTGTATGAGGCATTTGGAGTTGCTTTGAACTTAGTGTGTGAATGTTGATTAAGAGACCAGTAGAATACCTATCGGTGAAACAAAGACACTTTGCAAGGAGAGCCTTATTAAATGTCTTTGCTTTATTTAATTTTTTCTGCAGTTTGCTTGTCATTTCAAGAGCACTTTAAGATGGAAAACTAAGATGAATGGTTTGGGTCATTTGTGAAATGTTGTACCCACTGTATTTTGACTTAGTCTTTTTTTATTCACCAGCCTTCATGCTGGTGAATGGCTCTTGATTCATGGAATTGAAGCTACCCTCCCTCTTGGATCAAGCATAATTACCTCCTATTCCTTAGGTGCTGTATGTTCCCTATGGGTTTAGCACTTCCCATTGAATATTATAATTATAATACAAGTTGTTATAAAATCATTTCATATCTGCTATGTTTCAAGATTGCCTAACTTTTATCCATCTAAAAACTGTCTTTTTTCTTAAACAAGTCCTCTACTTGGTGTAATGTGACAGCATGAAGGCAATACATATACATATTAGATTTTAGATTTTTTGCACATTCTTCCATTTAGATTTTATTATATTTTATTTACAGATTATAGTGATTGTGTGTCTTAATGATAATTTTGATAGATGTATCTTCATATTTATTCTGGCCCTGACCCCTAGTTTTAAGTCTTCATGTATCTTATGAATTTAACCATCTTCCTCTGAGTCAAGTGACTTTTATCTTAAACAATGAAAGCAGTTATGCCTGTTTTTTCTGCAGACCTGGACAGTCTAGTCCTGGCTCTAGAAGATGACATCAGTGCAACTTTGAGGAGACAGTCGTCACGACGTTCCAGAAGTCTCTTAGGCTTGTCTCATTCCTTCATTGTTTTTTCCCTTTTTCTTTCTTGATGCACCTTTTTGAAGGAAGGTTTTACTTCATTGTTTTTACCATTACGTGCAGCATAGTTAAAAAATATTTTTCATATCACTGATTATTTGTCAGTGCTAAATATGACTACCTGCAGTATATGTCTTTTTTGGTGTAAAATGTATTCTGTGCTTTATAAAAATATACTTACCCTTTACCTAGAGGTGTGTTCTGGGGGTTCAGTGCCCCCTGCATTCTGGTCCATGACCAGTAAAATTTCCTTGAGCACTGGGCAATACAAAAATTATTCTTTGATCTTCCTTCAAAAAAGTGTGTAGGTATCCCCTCATAGGTGTGTATTTTTGTCTCATATGGGACATACTGGTTTTTCTCTGCTGTATAAGATGAGTGTCTAGATTAATTTTTCTATTGACTTGAGTACAAGTACAAGGCCAGACTAATGACCAACTTGGGTGCCACAGCACCAACAGCAACATTGAACAGTGACTGATTGTTAAATGGCTCAACTAACATGTGTCTAATCAAGCTACCTGTTATCCAAAAAGCTTTTTTGTTCCATAAAGCTAATAAATTTCCTCTTATCCTTACCTTTTTTACATTTTAAAATTGATGTTTGTCATTTGGGTTATGTCCAAGGTGTCTTGTGTTAGTTATGACTATTAATTCTTAATAAGAAAGTTTACAATTTTAATTTTAAAATTGAGAAGTTTCTTCCTGATGTAATATGGATCACTTATGCTAAACCTGAGATCTCATATATTATGAGATGAGATCAGTGAATGGAACTAAGCTTAGAAAGTTAAAAGCTTGACGTTCCTCTAACACTGACTGATTAAAGCTTGATTTTTAAACATACTTTCTTGTGGCTTTTCACTGGATTAATTTGTGTTTCTAAGACAAGTGTACAAAGAAGCTAAACATGCATTGTGAAGGTCCTTATATTGTTCCTGAGATAAATAATTATGCACTAAAGTATGTGAAATAATTACCTATGTGCATTAATAAATGAAAGAGAGCATTAACCATGATTATCACTGATGTGAAGAAACTTTACATTCATATCAATGAATAGGTTTTAATAAAGATAAAAGTGAATGAGTAGTCATTCTATTGGCTCTGCCTTCTTGATTTTTTTTTTTTTTTAACCACCTGTGTCAGTCTGGGAATTTATCACAGGGAGGAACATTGATGCTGGTGAAGAGCTCTAGGGCCATGGGATTGGAGCTACCCTCCCCTTCCTTGGATCATATCTGATTACCTCAAATTTTCCCAGACAGTGTATGATCCTTAGGGGCTTAGTGCTTCTCAGTGAATATAATAATCAGTCTGGATGGCAAATGCTTACGAAATTAGGGATGAGAAAAGTTGCTTATTTAGTATTAATGTTTAGATATTCATTGTGCATGGCATATACGTAATTAGCTTGTGTACTAAGTCATAGTGTGCAGATGGAATGACGAGTCAGACTTGTTTTGATCGTGAAAACGGAAGTTCCTTCATTAAACGTGAAGCGTGAGTGGGAGTTGGGTTGGTGCAGGTGATACAGGGTGCTGTGCGTTTATTGGGGCTCCTCTTACAGGTCTGGATCACCTAGCTCTCGCCAACTCTAATGACATTAATTCCACGCTGCTCAAATCATCCCTAGTTGCTCATCAGCGCTCACAAAGCCTCTCAGGTAAACAAATATGGCCTAAGGTTGAAATAACTCTAGGGTTTGACCTTCGAAAATTCTTCTAAAGCTCACATGATTCTCGTGATGAAGAACATAAAGCATATCGTGCAGTTTTAATAGCTTTTTAGCCGAGTAGGTTGCATGAGCCATTTATATCTTGTCTTGACTAGTTACCGTTGAATCATCACAGTAAATGCGCAAACATATAAACTCTAACCTTTATATTGATTTGTGATTTGGGTTTTTCAGTTAGTAATTTTTAAAAAAAATTTGGGTACTAATATATGAATTCTGGTTTATGTAGAATAAAGTGTTACAAAAAATTTGCTTTTATAAAGAATAAGCCTATGCATATATGATTACTGTAAATTGTAAAAGATCGTGTTGAATTATTTCTCATGAGATCAGTTTTACTAAGGGTTAAATAACAAGATGAATTGGCGTTTTGAATTATGTATCATACTAACATGAATTGGCATAACCTAACATTTTCAAAAATATTTTCCATACTAACACCAAAAAATAAACTAAAACATGTAAATTTTTAAATGTACACCATATCAGTATTTGTAGTCATTGGTGATAAGTGTAGTATTTGACAAATGGGGTCCACATGACTTGCCCTCTTGCTTGTCTGTCATACTCAATTCTTGGGTGTTAATTTAGTGACAGGTATTTGCCCTTGTAAGATTTTTGTAAAAGTTCTTGAGGCCCATATTTTAATGGGATGCAGCAGATAAAAATGGTTAATCAGTTTTTGTCATTATGTAAAATGAGGATTAATGTATAACCCAAGACTTGTAGTATTTTTCTTTTATGTAGTCTCAGTAGTGATGGAGAGTGTAGAGCATGTGTGTGTCATTGATAAATACAGTCATTCTTACAGTTAAACTCTTCCTTATGTACGCTTCTTTCTTACCTTAACACTCCTGTGAAAATTCTTCCATTGATCTGTCAATTGGTACCTCAACCAAAAAGATTACTTCTGCAAAATACGATCTCTACGACTTAAACAATTTGATATGTATACATTCTGTTAACAGAATGTAATTAAGGCTCTTTAATCTTCATGATAAATCTTTTAAGCTGTATAATAAAGTTGAATTATTCACAGGTAATAGTAAAATATATTTACAGGATAGTCCTTTATGTATGCATTTTTTTTTTTTACTAATTAACTAACAAGGTGTTCTGAACACGAAGCTGGTAAGTTTTGTATTAGCTTGTCCAGCTTAAGGTCTGGTTGACACGTCAAGTTTGTCCTCATGGTAACACGTCCTGTGTATGTCAAGGAGAGAAGTGACACTAATATTATACTATATACAGTGTTTGTTTAAACAGTAACATTGTTGTTGACATAGTGCATCGGTATAGGTATAGTGTGATACATCTGTGGCACATGTCAGGCTTGATGTATCTGTGACACATGTCAGACTTTATGCATCTGTGACACATGTCAGACTTGATGCATCTGTGACACATGTCAGACTTTATGCATCTGTGACACATGTTAGACTTGATGCATCTGTGACACATGTCAGACTTGATGCATCTGTGACACATGTCAGGCTTGATGTATCTGTGACACATGTCAGACTTGATGCATCTGTGACACATGTCAGACTTTATGCATCTGTGACACATGTTAGACTTGATGCATCTGTGACACATGTTAGACTTGATGCATCTGTGACACATGTCAGACTTGATGCATCTGTGACACATGTCAGACTTGATGCATCTGTGACACATGTCAGACTTTATGCATCTGTGACACATATCAGACTTAATGCATCTGTTACACATGTGAGTCTCAATGCATCTGTGACACATGTCAGACCAGCTGTTTCAGTAGTATTGTATGTTTGTTACCACAAATATGTCAGTTTTCTCATAACCACAAGATAATGCTTTATTGTATATTATGCACTCCTTTTGTGAAGTGATTCTTGTTTGGGGATAATTGCTATATGTTATTTCCCTGGCTAGAGAGTGTTATCATAGTATTGTTGTGTGAGTGTAATACTAATGCTAAATAATCAATGCTTAAAAGTTCACAGCAAGTTGTTTACAAAAATGGGTGAAAGTTGATGTTTATGAGATGGTGTAAATACTATACAGGAATGCCCTGCATATACAACACCTTCTTGGTGTTCCATGTTTTTGTTGGCTTGAAATTGAGCTACTGTTCATTATTTTCCACTCACTGATGATTGTCAATTGAAAGCCAACAAAAATGTGGAACACCAAAGAGAGGTGCTGTATATGCTGGGCCAGCCTGTATATGATTATAGTGTTTTACTACTATAATTTCTACTGGGACTATGTTAATTTTGAATTCAAATTGGGATGTCTGTGTATAGGTCTGTCTGTAATTAAAAGTTAGTAAAGTCGACACACCTTACATGATTTTTTATGTTAGGTAAATGGACACAAGTGCAACTAATGTGACATTTTATTGTGGCAATGTTTTGCTCTCCAGGAACTTTGTTCAGCCGTTACGGCTTGATAAACCTCCTGGAGAGCGTAATGTTGCCACAATAAAATATCACATTTGTTGCACTTGTGTCCTTTTACTTAACATATTATTGGTAATTCTACCAATATTAATACATGATTTTTTATACAAAATTCAACAATAAGTTTTTATTTGCCTTTTATTGGCCCTTGAACCAAAGATTTATTCTTTCTTGTTTTGGGCAAAAGGTAGGGAGAGGATTTAGTCAGAAGTAGCATTGTCAAGAGGCTGATATCTAGGAAGTGTACACAAATTATTCACACAAAGAAGAAAGAAACTTATGGTGACGTTTCGGTTTGAAACATCATCATGAGTTTCTTTCTCCTATGTATGGGTTATTTGTGTATTGTTCCAGTCATGTTATTGTGCCTTTTTATTCTGATTGAGTAGGGATCTTGTGACGTGTACTGGCAGATGCAGAAAACATTGTAAAGTAACACATACACACTTCCTCATGTACACCGTCACAGTTACGCTGCATTATCCCTGTATATGAGTGGACAGAGTCGTACTCTGACCCACAGACTGCAAGCCTGCTAAGTGTCAAATTCATGGCACCAGAGCTCTGAACTCATAGAGAGATGTACAATTTCACAGCAAGGTTAAGTCCCTCCATCCAGTCAATAGCAGGAGGAAGGTCAGATTGATTGGTGCATGACCTCAGAGTACTACAGTAGGTCTACTCGAGTGCTCCTCTTATTTTTTATTAGATTGCAAGACTTCTTTTATTATACATAGCAAGCCTCACTAAACACCTGATCTTGATATAGTGATTTCAACATGCTTGACTAGTATTCATAATATTTGACATTTTTTACGTGTATATTTGTGGAGGTGGAAACTACAGTGCCTGCACTCTGAAGGGGGAGTTCGGGATATTTACTGTTTAGAGTGACATCTACACTGTTGTATCTGCATGCTTCTGGCAAGACAGTGATAGTGTAAATGATAGTGAAAGTGTTTCTTTTTTTGGGATGCCCTGTCTCAGTGGGAGACGGCCAGCGTGTTAAAAAACAAAATTGCGTTTTAGGATAAACTTTAGTAAGATAAAACTTCATATTGGAAGATGACCTTTTCTTTGCACAGAACAAATCACACAGCCCAATTGTGAGAAGGAGGCTGAAGGCAGTGGAGTTGTCATATTTGAAAGCAGTGTGTGTTATGAATATTATGCAGAGAATTCAAAGTATGGAGATAATAAGATGGTGTGAGATACTAGAAATATAATTCAGATGGATGGGGAGGGGTTGTTGAGTGTTTCGGACATTAAGAGAAGATTGAGTAGAATAAGAGTTGATGGTATAGAAATCAGGGGTGGAAGGGAGGAGGGGTAGAAGTCATCCTAGGAAAAGTTGGAGGGATGGGATAAAGAAGGTTTTGAGTGCTTTGAGCTTGAACATCCAACAAGCTTATGTGAGTGCTTTAGATCAGAATGAGTGGAGACAAGTAGCTTTAATGCCTTAACATGCTGTTGGAGTGTGAGCAGGGCGACATTTATGAAGAGGTTCAGGGAAACCCAGTTAGCCAGTTGAGTCCTGGAGGTGGGAAGTACAGTGCTAGCACTCTTAAGGAAAGAGGGGGTTAGATGTCACAGTTCAGAGAGTCATCTGAACAGCAATGTCAGCACATTTCTGGCAAGGTGGCAATTGAGTGAATGATGGTGGTTTTTGTGTTTCCTCTATTTTTTGGGTCACAGTACTTCGGTGGGAGATAGCCAATGTGTTAAAAAATCAATTAATTTGACTACACTGACTTGGGTTAAGTGCTCTCAATGCTGTTGTATTTATAACCACTTGAAAGTCTTCTGAGTAACATAAGAAAATATGAAGAAATATGAGTACAATACTTTGACTTATAGCTGGCACTCACAGAAGTCATCTCCTCTTTCACAATAATAGTTAATGTTCATAATGTTTGCTGCTGCTTCTCTGCAGTCTCTTGTGGTGAAGGCAATACTTAATCTGATTTCTAGCCCAGGCTTCTGCTGTAGGCATTTTCCCAGACGTTTGGAGATTCTTTTCTTATTTACTGTCATGTGGATCATAAGTCATTTAATACGCACGCACTCACATGCACATATGCACATTTGCACATGTGTGCACATCAAGAGGTATGATAAAGCTCATGGAGCAGGGAGAGGGTGGACCTAGTAAGAACCAGCAAAGAGGTGGGATCAGGAGCTATGAATCAACCCCTGTAGCCATAATTAGGCGAGTACATACAGACACACTTGCACACACATGCACACAGGTGGCCAAAGACTGCAAACCTCTCTCAAGGAGAAAGATCTTTGGGTGAGTATAATATTGAGCATGTCTCCAAAAGCACACATCAACCAGATAACTGCTGCAGCGTATGGGCACCTGGCAAACCTGAGAATAGCGTTCCGATTCCTCAGTAAGGATTATTATTATAATCAATTATAATCAAAAAGAAGCGCTGAACCACAAGGGACCTCAGTAAGGAATCGTTCAAGACACTGTAC